ATAATACATGCATCACGGAAGTACAACTAAATTATTTAACCATTCCAGTATGTTATCTTGCATTTAAAGCTATAAAATCAATCACATGTTAAATAGGACAAATAATAAATAACTAATCAGTTCTGCCTCCATTAGTAACCTGTAATTATTTATTGGAGTTTTCTAAATTACATAAAATACTGTATTATTGATAATTAAACTTCAATTTCATAATAGAGAATAACGTGATGGATTCTTACCCGAATCGGTGTCCAAAATACCAAACTTCTACTGCGCCTACTGACAGTTCTCAGGTTTCTTGAATTTTTCTGCAGATATTAAAATATGCTTTACGTACCTAGAAATATCCAAATACTCAAAATCAGTGTTAAAAATTCTTTTTCGGCCAAATTCGGGGTTCTGACATGATGGCACCGCCGTGCTTTGTCAATGGTACTGACGCCCGCAACGGTGGTTTGCCTTGCCCTGGCTATTTTCAGCCGGTTTTATATCCATCCCTACGAGAAAACACGTTAAGGAGTCTCGATTGGCCGGAAAAAAAAATCAAAAAATGAAAACTTACCGACGATGAGATTTTTCGGTGCGGCGGCTTCGCCGGCTCACCTTCGCGGCTGAGCATTTTTCTTTGGTCAACCTGTAGAAAACAAAACGGTGAACACAATGGTAGAAAAATCACACGAAATGAGAATTGAGAAGGGGCTCATCGGAGGCGGTTGCGAGTTTTGCTCGCGACGGTGCCACTGGGCTTTGCCCGCGATTTTTGGCTCACCTGCCGTTTGTTTTGCTCTGATATGGCCACAAGGGTGCTGGAATCGAATTCTGAAGGGGTGAGAGAATTTTTATCTTTTTTGGCGGTCACAAGTGGCTCCGGTGCAATGGCGGTCGGCGGTCAGCTCCCTTCTCCAGCGGTTGGTTATTCTTCTTCGGTGGGGGGGCTGGTAGCTAAAATTTGGGTTCTGTGTAAAGCAAAATATTTATACTAATCTCGCACGAATCTGGATCGTTCATCACGTTTAATCGCGGCCGTCCGATCGCACCTGATGAAGAAATAGATCCTGACCGTCCACGCGCGCAGGAAGACGTGTGGGTCGTCCAATTGCAGGGCACGCGGATCGCCAACATGGCTTCCCGCGTGGCACCGAGACAGCGCGCCTTGGCACGTGGCGCGCGATAACTCGTTAAGGCTGTTGACTGGGCGATCCTACATTATATAATTTTTTAAAATTGCACTCTAACTTCTAGTTTCTATTTTTTTTTAAAAAAAAAATACCATCTCAACCCAAATTTTCACTTTTTTTTCCAAAATTATTTTTAATTTCATCTCTAACCAATTTTTTCATAATTCATATAAATTAAAATTATTAATTTTAAAAAATAAATTTTTTTACATTTATAACTTTAAAATTAATCTAAAATCAAATTCAGATTCTGGTGTTACAATAAAATTAATATATCAATAAAATAAATCTTAAATCGCACTTTATAAATTGATCACAACTAATTTATATTTATTAATAAAATAAATAAAATTATATTTTCAATTTTAGAAAATGGCTTAATGGGGCTCAATTCCTCTAACTGATTTTTTTCGTAAATAGATATTAATTTATATATTTTGCTAAAGTTTTATTCTGTTAATATAATGATAATTTTGTTATTTAATATAAAAATAAAAAGTTTTGTTTTTATTTATTGATATTATAAAAATTAACCCTAAAAATATAATATTAATACCAGTCAGATTTATGATCATATCATACTTAAAAGTATATACGATATAATTATTATTTTTCATATATAAATCATTTAAGACTTAGTGTAAGATATATAATAAATAATTTTAATTTACAATACTAATTAATACCAGGATTATATATTTTGCAATCAAAATTATGAGAAAAATTAATCAATTTAAAACATTAAAATTAAAATTATATGACAATTTTATATAAGCAATAAGGCATCATAAAACTGTCAAATATTATAAAGAAATTATATATTTTTATTAATAATATTTTTGAATTATTTTTTACATTAAAATTACATTTTTTTTTTTAAATTTCTAGCAAAAATTGAACTTGAATCTTATCTATAAGTCGAAATTCGTTTATAACTAATATATTGGAAAAAAAAAATGAAGTAATGAACTTAGCAAATTATTAATTTGTATATTTAATTGTTAATTATTTATTTTAAATTAAATATTAATTTATATTTTTTAAGTATGCTTTTAGTTAAATATAAAACTCCAAGTGCATGAATCATGTTGGGTTGACCAAATAAGATTAAGACATATGATTATGCTATATGCCCTACTGTGTGAACATGCATTAAAAAAAATACAGACAATTATTTATATTTCAATAAGTAATACAAATTATTAAATATTTTATCTATGAACTCAAAATATAAACATGTAAGCAATTGCCGACATTAGGAGGCTTTGATTTGAAAAGAAAAAAAAGATTGGACAACAAGTTCATCTCAAAACTAAATTAAAAAGTACCAACAGCTTTGTTAAATATATAAATGAAACACTCATTTTAACTACAAGGTAATATACATTTTCCTTCTGTTAAAATTCTAACCTTCAACACCGTTCGTTGGGTCTGGACCAAATTGGACAAATGATATCTGATCTAGCCTTCAGTCAAAAAAATTCCAATATATTTTTAATCCAGATTTCTGAATCAATTAATTTTAGTATTAAAATTTTCATAGTAAATATACAAACATTATAATTAATTATACAGACTGATATATAAATAATATATTTAAAAAGTTAAAATTTTTGAACAAATTTCTGTCAAACCAGATTAAATTAAAAAAATTTCTTCTGATTCTGTTCAAACCAAAGTTCTCTCTGTCTAAAATCTTCCTTCCAAAAAATTTTTTCCATTTAATTTTTTCCCCTAAATTTTTAAAAAATATTCAATAAAAACTTATGCGTACATTATTAAAAAATATAAAATAAAATTAAAAACTGAACGGAATTGAAATACTTGAATACTTTTAAAATTTGATAAAAAAATTTAATTGAAAAGGTCGAAATTCCAAGAAAATCGTGATATGTTGACAACGCATCAAAATAGTTTTTTTATCTAATAACTTCTGATAGGGTATATAGATCTGGGTGGGTTCGAACCACCAGCCTCTCAACCCGTTCGTAAGGGCATGAGCGCTCTACCATTTTGAGCTTACAGATCTTTGACACATTCATCTCCACAACCGCGTCTCATACGCTTCTTACAATTCAATTAGACAACTCACTGAAAACACATCAAAATTTCACTGTCATTTAAAAGATAATCCTGCAAATTTAAGAATATTTTAAGAATATTTTTCAATTTCACTGTCGATTCTGTCATTTAATTTAATTTTAATTTTACTTCATAGAAAGTAATCGTTTTAATTAAATGCTTTGTTGGGAAAAATGAGAAATCTTCTTTTAAAAGACAACTTGCTTTTAAAAAAGTAGTTTTAAATCTTACAGACCTCCGGCTAAATCAAATTAATATATCAATGCAAAAGAGACTAATATCATCACTCTCTTTAAAATAAGTTAAATATTACTTCAGAATTCTTATTCCTGTTCATACTCCGTACATAATGCCCCACATTAGTAATTCCATTAATCACTTTACTAGCCGTTAAAACTCTTGAATCATCTACACATCATATGTACCCGATGTGATTTATTTTACTCGGCAATTATATGAACAGAACTACTGAAAAAAATACCTTAAAACCAAAAAGTTCGAAAATCCTTCTAAAAAGATTCGTACCTTAGTTTCTTATAACATTTTTCGAGAAAAATCCACCACAAAATACAAATGGGACAAATGACAACAATTGCCACTACTTGAAAAGGACTAACAGAATGAAGATTTATAACAAATAAATTAATCTTAAAACATATAATAAAATTTTCAATATTTAAAGCACACACATGCATAAACTCCGCAAGGATTATAATACATAATACTGAAAAAATCCCACTTTAACTTATAACACTCAAATAGTACAAAAAAGTAATCGCAGAACTAGAAACAGATATAAAATTTAATAGCAATTAATACTGAAATCAATACTTCATAATATTGCATCACCTCGTATTATTTCTCGCACACGGACATCTAATGACTATCTGAAACTTCTTAAACATGACGGCGAGGAAAATCCATAAAACACCAGCCCGACAAAAATATTGATGCTTCCCCAATTATCGACTTGGGCAAGTATTCCAATAAAACCATCAAGAACCATTGCATCAGCTTCTGCCTCCATATACGGTGAGGCTGTGTTCAATTCTGTTAAAAGATAAACATGTTACAAAGCCCAAAGACATCCTTAATTTTGCATATCGCATTGAAGCCAATACCTTCGAAGTTCTGAACACCAATAAATTTGGGACGCCAAAATTTTCAAGTTGAACTTGGATCCGCTGCATTTGAAGATTGCCAGGGAGTGCTCTCACTTCAACGAAACGAAGGTTTGCTTCACATCTTCAACCAAATACTTCATCTACTATCAAAGAACTCCAGCCAGGACAACGGGATGGCATGGAGATTTATACAACTTTCAAACCAAACAAACTAGGGGTACAGAAACAAGGCCTCAAATCTACTTATAATACACAAGTTAATAATATGTTCAACAACTACTCTTAAACCATAAAGGCATTAACAATATTAAATCTCATAAATTGAAGAAACTACTACGTCAAAAACATACCTTAAAGATGGTTAGTTAATAATTATATAAACACAAAAGCCTTAAGGATGCAGATGGAACATTTTACGCTCTGTTTTATGCTAGGACTCGTTCATTTTTTTTCAATAATTTAGAAGTGCTCTTTCGGGTTGCTTACTTATATCCACCTCTTCGGAAAATAGTTGGGATGTTAAGACATAACAGTAAATAGAATGATTCCACAGTATTTGCCTCATTTATTAATTAAATAAATTCTACGACAGATATACGCATTAAAACTCATTTATCAATTTTTTTTATGAAATTAATGGAGCTCCAATTATTAACGCCTGCAAATGTAAAAGAGTCTAAAACATGACTTGGTTTTCCAACTTCAAATATAACTAGACCCGGTTTGAAGTCTGACGCCTTGGATGCAATTCTGAAAACATATAAATAAAACGATTCTAGCCTTCTAATTATTGGATTATTTAAAGTCGGAAACTAATTGAATGTTATCTATAAATAGTTTGTTGGAAGTTGAAAATATACCTGAATCCGCGAAAGTAGTTGTGAGTAGATCAAATTCTTTGTGATCATAGCGCTAATCCAAATCCAATCCGTTATCAATTTGGTGAAGTGGATCTCGCGTGCGTGACGATTGAGATATTGGAAAGAAAGGAAAGAAGAAAAAAGAGAGCACACAAAACACACCCACACGCACACACGAGGGGAAGAACCCGGGCAACCCCCGTGCGATCTCCCCTCGAAAACCAAAAAATATTTCTTTTATTAAAATATTGGTGACCTGCCATGCAAGCGCACCTGACATGGCAAAGGTCGGATGACAAAGATAGATCAGAACTCGGCCCCCTGAAATTAGGCCATCTCGTCCTGATACATCTCACACATCCATAACAAATAATTAGACAGATCCTGGACGTCGTCTTCTTCTCTTCAATAAACTCGATCGCCCTCGTGAACGACGAATCCGGTACAGATTTTGACAGTGATTTGATCAACACTTCACGAGAAGAGAGAGAGCAGCTTCGCACTCCATCGGGCCACCAGCATCACCATAACCGCAATTCCCAAGGAACGACTTACGCCTGTAAAATTTGTAGCAAACGAGAAAAGTAGTTACAAAAGCAGCCTCGCAAAACAATTAAGCAAGAAAGAATCACATAATCAGATCTCTAGCAAACACAGAAACATAATTGATTTCTCAGTCTCTACAAACAAATAAATATCTAGATCTGGAACAAAATTATCTTCGGGATACAGATCTGTAAGAATCTGTAACACGATCTGTAGAAATCGAAACGAACAGAAAAAAGATAACGAAGTACGAAACGGAAATCACGAAAACTGGCAGAAGACCTACCGGAACGAAGCCATGGCTATCTCCAAGGCGTAGGCTGCAGATCTGGTAGACATATACGGTTTAGACAAGCCTTATCAGCTCATCCAAGGTCGAGCCATGAAACCTCAAGCTAACATCATCCGAAACTGGTACCAAATCGTAGATCAGGAGACGATCTACCCGATCTCAGGGACGACCAAACGAGATTAGAACCCATGGAGAATAGATCTGGAGGGAAAGATATGAGATCAAGAAAAGCTACACGGCAAGAAGAATGAGACTGCAACCGATACGATTGAAAAATAAAGCGAACCCTATGTTCTTAATAGGGGTAGTTGTGGGGAGGATGGACGGTCGAGATTAAGATCTGTTTTAAAGATCAGCGGCTAAGATTGAATTACGTGGCGCATTAGAGTCCTTAGTCGGCTAAACCTTATCGCAAGAAAGGCGGTTGAAATATGGACGGCTACAGATAATACCTTTCCCATCACGTTTTTCTTCTAATTTTTTTTTTAAAGTTGCGTTGTTTCCACGAACAATGATTCCATCGATAACCCTTCTGACACGGCGTTGTATTCTAGAACCTACCTTTATTTATTTAAAACAGAAAATTAGCTATTATCAATTTCTAAATTTATAATTTTTGAGTTTAATGATAAATTATAATTTTAACTCTTTTATTTTTTTTATAAAATTTGATAGTTTTAATCTATTGTAAATTTGGTGATTTTAAATTATCATTTTAGTGCTATTATTTTAAAAAAATTATCGAATAATACGAGACAAATATGTATCTTCACTTTATTCTAGATTTAAAAAATTTAATTATTATAAATTTTAAATTGCTCTTAGTTTTAGTTTAGAATTTAAAATTAAAATATTTGGGAATTTCAAAATTGAGTTAGAACCATAATTTATTTTTATTAAATCTTTAAAAAAATTGCACCTCTAAATTTTGTATGCAAGGAGGAGTACCGCCGGTAGTCCAAATAAATAAATTTATACAAAATATATTTTAATTGAACGTATATTTATTGTATGACAGACAACCACATAAACACTATCTATTTTTTAATGAAATTTTTATTCAAAATAAGTTGTTATTTAATATAAATATTTTATTAAATTTATAAAAGTATTTATAAATAATTAAAATGAAGCAATAACTTTAAAAAAAAATAAGATCATCCATCGAATTTACTTTGAAAATTAACTTGAAAGTTTAATAAAATATAATATTTTAAATACTAAATATTCAATAACGTGGGAATAATAGAGTGATTATTTTAGAGATTTGTTTAGGACAAATATGGATTGTTCTTATTTTTTTTAATATAATTATTGATATGATATCTACACTAAAAAATTGACTGCCTATAATTTTTAACTAAATTAATTATAATAATTTGTAAAAAAAAATAATATTAAACATATTTTAATAATTTATAAACAACTTTAAAATTACATGTTTGCATATTATATTGTTAAATAATAATAAATGACATGAATATATAGTTTCAAACATCAAAATTGAATCATAAAATTTAATTTCAAATTTTTCGTAATTTACTTTATTTTTTAATTAAATTGTGATACACCCATGTAATTTGATATGGTTTATTATGAAATTAAATCAAAACATAAAATATAAATAACAAACTATAAGGTTTTAACAACAATATTTGTAATCAATTAAATGGCATGTGAGTTGTGAGTTTTAGCTAATTTAGCTGCGTATAAACTATTTTAATATTTATATTGCATCTTATTTAAATTACTTGCCTAACATTCCGTATAATTTAGTGTTTAATTTTTAAGGTGTTTTATAAGAATTTTTAGATAATTCAGGGATTTTTTATAAATTTAAAAAGGTTTAGGAACTTAAATAAAAAAAAAAAATTAAAATAAAAAAGTTAACTCCTAAATCCAAAATCAACCCACTAAGTTACAGAGTGCAAACTGGAAGGGAGGAGAGTGCAAACTGAACGATCAACCAAATAGTTAGCAGGCGAGGGGGGATTTGAGCTCTTTGATTAACTGAACACGGATGAATTGATGTGTTAAAATTTTATCAGATAACGCTACCATAAAAATTCTCCAATTTTTTTGTTGTTGTGCAAACTACCTTTTCTAGTTATCTTCTCCACACTTTTTCAAAATTTCTACACCTGTATATAT